AGGAAGAGAATATGTTTACTGACGATGTGTCCGAGTATAATTTACACAACATTTTTATGTTGTGTAAAAAGCTTACATTGCAGCTTTCAGTGGCATTTCCTGCTGTGTTTCCACGGCAACTGTAAATATTTTGTGTCTGTCATGGCGGCTATATCATGGTGGCCGCCACTACAAGACACGTCCCGTTACAACTATGGAGTTAAGAATTTCTCTGGCTTTGATGACTGTTGGAAATATTTATGGTGATGTAAGAACTCAACATAAAGTTGGTTTAGTCCTTTTTTAAATAATTTAGATATTTTATTGAGAGTACTTGTAATATTCAAACTTCTGTAAAAGATCATCAGGCTAATAGAGTACTCCGTCACCTGCCCGGTGAGAGATGTTTTTCCCTTCCTGTGGTCCATGTGGTCAGTGGTCAGAGAGTTGAAACTGGGCTTCACTGAACATCTAATTTCCTTTCATTTCTTTTAAAACCTTAGCGTGGTCCCTATACCTTAATCTGTATAAACCATCTGTTTAACCTTAAAATCACGCTTTGACCTAATGTTGCTGCAGTGTGTTGTTGTGCACTAAAGCAAGTCACAAGACGGGTTCTCATGTGTAGATCGTTACATTGAAAAACAAAATCATTCAGTCTCTCGCTCTCTCTCGTCAGGGCTCGAAGGGAGAGCAGCGTTTAAGGTTTCCTGCTCCTCCATCTTTCTTTCTGAGCGGCTGATAAGTGTGTTTATTTTCTCATTTGTTTTCTGCGAGCACTAACTTGTCTCTGTGGCGGTCTGTGGTAATTTTGATAAACTGAGCATCTCCCTGAGCTATCTCATGTGATCTCATTTTCCCCGCTTATCTTACATTTGCTTAGACAAATGACTGAAGTAATGAGCTTTACTTAAGTGATTGTTTGAAGGCTGTAGAAACACACAGACACCCATATCAGCGTCACCAAGACAAATGTGGTGCGAGTGCATAAATGTATACTGCAATGATTCTAGATGGGGTGCAGAATAGGGCTGAGTTTTATTACATTTCTTCCAGAGTGCTGGTAGAATATGTGAGTAATAGAACGTGTGGAAAGTGCTGTTTTTGGTTTTCTTAGAGCCCTTATATTTGGTGATAACTGTTGTGGAAATACACAAGCTTCACTTCTATAACACACTTTTTTTTTGTTCAAATCAGGACCTATTTGATCAAAGTAAAAGAAAAGAAGATTAGGAATCCGGCCACAGACTTTTATAACCCCAACAGCTTTTGTTTGGGATACATTTCGCTCCTTTACCACAAAAGTATTTAGGTTACGATACTCCGCCCCAGCACTGAGTAAGAGGCTTTTCAGATGTTGCCTCACAGCAGCACTGAATCCTTAATGCATGTTTCCCTACTTGCAACGCTAACCTGTTCCGCTCTCTAGTCTTTTTAAATTAAAAACACAGAACATATACTGTAGATGAGTGCTGTCAGGGTTGACCCTGCCCTCAAGCAGCTGGCCCTCTTATCTGTCCCGCCTGTGTCGATGCATATTTATCCCTCCCCGAGTGGCTGAGAGCAGGCTTAGCATATGGATTAGCCCGGGAATCAGATGCATGGCCACACTGAATCACCAGAGCCAGTGATGGAAACAAACCAGTGCTGGTATTGATCAAAGACACATTTAGCTGAGTACTTCACCTTAGACCTGATGTGTGCAGATATGTTCCTTTCTCTTGAGGTTTATAATGCTCAAATATAACCTTCATTAACCCTCCTCCTGGTGGATTTGATTTTAAATGAAATATCTCTATGCAATGTATCCCATTGCATGTGTTTTATCCTCTAACTACTTTTATCTGTTCATCTGACTTCCAACACAATATAGAAATAAATAGTGTTGCAGTACTGGAAGTCAGTCTTGGTCTCGACACTCAAACTGGATGGACTCCGGGTTTTTTAATCAAGACCACCACTGAAAGGCTATTTTCCCTAAGTCCTCACTGTGATTAGAAGGAAAACGAGCCCTTTCTAAAAGAACAAATAACTTCAGTTCATTCATAATTAGATTTTTATCCCCTGGTTACGGCCCAACCTTGGTGTTACATTCTGAGTGAGTGACACGCCCTCTTCACACAAGATGAGGATTTTTCACTGAAATTTATGGTCTTGTCTTGGTCTCAACCCCTAAATGTCTTGGTCTTGTCTCGGCCTCGGAGCACTCTGGTCTGGGGTATGTCTCGGTTTCGGCTAGTGTGGTCTTGACTACAACACTACAAATCAATGATGTTCTGAAATGTACACATTAATGTATAAACCATAACGAGTGTAAAACACTTAAAGACTCTAAATAAAACACAACTAGAATGTTGAGGAGGAGATCACAACCAGATCATTGGACTGGATCAGCAGGGTTCAAACTGCTTATTTGTTCAGCAGTGTTATAAAGTTGTCAACGCCAGAATCTGATATCAATATGATTAAATTTAAGTTGTCTGTATTACTAAAAAAATAATATTGCTTGAAGCTTTTCAAAGTCTTAATATGGATCTGAGGGGTTGCCTTTTAAGGCAATTTTCTCTCACAATGTAAATGTTCCTGCACTAAGAGAAGAAAACATTTTTGGTTGGTGCTTAATATTTCTTGAAATTGTGCAAGAACCAGTAAACTGTAAACTCCTGGAGCAGAACATTGAAATGATAACAACACCAACCAGCTGGGTTTAATAAACTGATGTCCAGTCTCAATACTTCTACAAGTAGGAAAGAGTCACATTTTCACTGAATCAGAAAAGAACAAGTAAAACCAGACACCTCTATGAGCACTGTGCACAATGCTGACTCAGGTGCCGTGTGTGCATCCAAGAGGAATCAATTAATTATCTCCTCGACGTGAGGTGGGTGGGGCTTGATGTTCACCGCCTGCCAAGTCTGCTGGAAAGGTGACAGTGTCATGGTGCTACTTGGCTGAGTGTCATCAGATGATGATACAACAACCTGGGAGAATGATCCGGTACACTAACCTAATGATAGCGTGTGCTATTTTGGTCCACGGCTGGAGTGAAAACAATTTCATGAACGACAGACAAATAATCAATTATGTCATGCACAGAAACAAACACAGAAACATTACAACTAAGTCCCAGAGATTAAAGAGTACACAGATGAGAAATTCAAGTTGATGTGATTGGATTGATGATTTGATAGATTACTTAATGATAGTAGAATAATGGTGAAGCCTTTATTTGGCTTGACCTTTTCTGTCCAGCTTCATGCATGCTTGCAGCGAGCTCTTAAGAGCGTTGTGGCTCTGGTGGAACGCTCCGGAGACTCAGGAGAATTGATTAGAGTGGCGGCAAACGGCACCATTAGAGCGTGGCCAGGGTCCGAAATTAACTTTTTGACTCACCGGCCAAGGTGGCAGGTAGATGAAAAAATTCACCGGCCAAACGTATTTTTTTACCGGCCAAAATATCAAATTTTGTTTTTGTGTCCTACACACATTACAGTACATTTAATTGAGAAGGCATTATGTTTTCTTTAATCAATAATACATTTAAGTCACAGACTTGATCGATTCGATGTCATCTGATCAGGAAATTGAGAAATTGAAAAAAAAAAATATTTGCTTGCCTTTATTTTTTTCTTAATATATTATTTGTAGGCAGTAGTTCCAAACCCCGGTTTGTCGACCGGATCACGTGTGTTCCCGAGTGTTCTCCAGTGCTTCACCACTAGAAGTAAACAGGTGCGCGTGGTGGCTGGCGCTCCGGTGTGTGTGTGCGTGCTTTTGCGCTGCAGTGTATGTTGGTGTGTCTCAGCGTGCCCCGCGATGCTCACAGACAGTCATGACAGCAGAGAGAGGAGCAGGGAAAAGAAGCTGCAGCTAGGCTACATCAAACACGATGAATACTTATAGCATAGTTTTTTATGACTTTTTGATCAAACATTTACCCGCCCTGTGGCGGATAGCCCTCTGAAAAGTACTCGCCAAACGGAAAATCTACCCGCATTTGGCGCTTGGTGGGTGTTAATTTCGGACCCTGAGCGTGGCGCTGACAGTATCAAATCGGTGATTCTGGCATTATGACAAATCGAATAGTTGTGGATTATTTTGATCTGAGCCACAGGCTGGGTTTTGAACCTGGGCCGTCCATACATGGGGCGCACACATTAACCACCTGCACCACCAGCGCCCCATTTTGATCTCAACTGATGGCTCAGTGAAGGTTTACTTTTGTTTCAGTGAAGGTTACTTTGCCAGCTTGTCACACATGCATGCTCCTCCTCTGCAACGATCTACATGACATTTAAAACCAATTCACAAATTCACAAATGCATTTGTCACCCTCACCTTGATGGCATTTGATGAGGTGTGACTGCTAATTATCCACTTTGACTTCCAGGATTGTGACATCCTGATTTGACAGATGAGTCTAAATAATAGGCCACGCTGTCTTTAACCGGCCTTGAACTTTTCCTTTATCGTAGCACCTCTGCTGTTAGCAATAGCTCTTGTTGCATTGCAGAGTAAAAGTATCCAGAAAGAGAAATACCTTTCCACCTCGCCATCACTGCATTCCTGAACTGATGCAGAGTGTAGTCCTGGCCTTTTGAAAGTCTAGCAAAGGTTCATACTATAAACTCCCTTTGATTCCCGTTGCCAGCCTAAGCCTTAAGTTAGACACTTCATTTGGCTAAAGGATTAGACTACTAAGCCTTTTAGTGGTAAGCTGGTCACATGAAAATCTAACATCAGTTTGCATTGACAAGAAAAAACCTTGCACCTCCTCCAGGGATTTCTATTTTCCTTGAACCTTGAGACTCCTCCCATGTCATCCCTGACTTTGCAGTGCTCTCATGCATCAGTGGCCATGTGGATTTCCCTCTTGCAGGGCTGCGTCTATCTTTGGATTTTGGCTAACCCCTGTCTCGCGGGATCATTTTGTACGCCTGTGGAGTGTTTGGCCTGCTGGGATTCTTTTTTTGTTTTGTCAAAGATGTGAAGGATTCACAGATTGTCTTCTCTTCTTTCAGATTTCTGTGAGATCTACACCGAGGTGAACGCCTGCATCAAATGTCAAGAACCTCTGAGGTGAAGATAACCAAAGTGACTCCTAAGGTAAGACGTGTTTGTGCTCACCTCTAGCAGGTTGACAGTTCTGCCGTTAAGTCACTCAATGTTGCTGTTTCTGCACACATTGATTAACTGTGAACCTACATCAATGGGTGTATAGTTACAGTGATACCTCCATAGTGTCACGCAGTCTATAGAATGTCTGGGTGGTGTGGGGTTGGTTTTATTTTTCCACGCTGGAACACAGTGTCTAATTTCCACAGGTGCAGATATCAAATGTGGTGTCAGCAGTAGATCCTGTATGTACAGCATAGTACATCTGAGCTATACAGCACATATGTGCAGCTCCCTATCGGCCCGGCATGATGGCTGCGTCATTTGGAAAATGATCAAAAATGCAATATGGAATACTGCAATATCCAAATGTCACAAGCTGCAGCTTCCCCCCCCCCCGAAGTGTGACATAAATAGACAACAGGTTTAGGTGATGTACCAGCACTCATTTACTAATCAAATTGCATGTCGGGAAACTTTGCATATTCACATCATCACATAGCCTCTTCTCTTTAGAAAAATCTGTGAGATAATGTGTTTAAGGATCCATCATGATATATCCTCCCTCAGCTCTGAGCAGCAGAGATAAACTCGTCCACTTCCTTGTTCTCCAGTGTAGGACGGAGAAATCAAAAGAAAACAAAGAAACGCTTTCCCCGAGAGCTCTATCTTGTTCAGTGTTTAACTTGCACTTTCCCCTTCTTCATCGACGCTAACCCGCCGGGCTTACATGCTGTGCCTTACTGACAGCTCACACCTTTTGGCTTCTCAGCAGTTCTCTTCACATATTGTTTTTTTTTCCAGGCTTTATATGGATTCTCCAGGTCTAGCTCTGCACTGGGCATGAACACATGTGAAGCAGGATAGAGCAGATTCAGTCAGGGTTTAGTTCTGACAGTGATGTTTTAATGAATAGGGTTATCTAATTACCTGAATTGTAAGCTTAGATATAATACTGATGAAAATCAGAAGATATGATACCTGATTTGATACCATGGCAACAAAAACAGAAGTCCTAGGCCCCCCAAGATTGGATAATTTCTTGTTCTTAAGTACCATAGACTACAGGGGAAGTCCCTGCAACCTGTCTAAATTGTACAACAACAATGGGGACGTTGGTGGCGCAGTGGTTTTTGCGCTCATCCCATGTATCTAGGCTGTGGTCCTCCAAGCGGGCGGCCCAGGTTCAAATCCCACATCCCGCATGTCATTCCCTATACTCTCTCTCTCCATGATTTCCGACTCTATCCACTGACCTATCTCTCCATTAAAGGCACAGAAAGCCCAAAAATCAATGTTTAAATTGTACAACAACATTGGCAATGTCTCGCTACTGAAATGTTACCAATGGTTTGTGGATGTTTTTTTTTTTTTTTTTTTTTTTTTTTTGCAATTTAAAATAACAGAGATTGTATCCGTTAAAAAAGGGCGGTATTAAAAAAGTATGGATGAATCGAGAATTTTGACAACCTTATCACTGAATCCAAAGGCAGAGGCAGTTTTTATAGGCAGTCTGACATATCAGAAGCTTTATTTACAACCTGGAAAGGGGAGGAAAAGCATCTATGATATAAAGTATGTAAAAGAATCATTGCTGTAGAAACAGCTGTAGATATGATTCAGTAACAGGTGTTTCTTTCTTGCTTTTGGTTATTATTTCGATGAGGATCTTTTTCCACATCGAGTCTCAAATCTGAAGAAAACCAACGAGTGATAAGATCTAAATAGTTTTGTACGACACGCCCTCAATCGTCGACATTCATTGTTTTATCATAGGAGACTTCACCACTGGGTTGGACTTGTTGAACATGCACTGCAGAAGAATTCTAATATTAGACGTTTGGTACTGTAGCCAACTCTCCTTGGCACAGCTCACCTGCCTGCACACAGCCAAGTTTCATTTTCACCCTCCGGCAGGTTTTCTCAAACCAGGAACATGTTTCTCTGGGCTGCACATCCTCCAACCCTCAGAGGTGTTGTCTCTAGACAATCATCAGGCTTTTTTTATACCGTTAACATGGCTTTCTGCGGGGAGTCCCAACCAGAACATTGGTGCTTATGTGAGCCTGCAACCAGCGACTACACATAAAGGTCTTGATATGTCAGTTCCATCTGCCACTTTGGATGTTGTGTTGAGTTTCCTATTAACCCTAGTCTGTGCTCTTTTAGTGAAGTTAGCATTTTGAAGCAGCGATGGCTCTTTGATCGCATGAATCACTCTGATTGGCTGTTAAGCGAAGCAAATCAGTGCAACAAAAAAAGGGGGGGGAAGGAAATGGCTAATCCATTCATCTTCTACAAACAAAACAGGACTACAGAGTTATACTTGCAACCTGCTTTCATTGTTTCTGCATAAATGTGCCATCTGAGATCGTCTGACTGTCACCAGCCCTCGCTCCCCTTGAGTTTGTTGTGAGTAGCGTCTGACATGGCTCTGCAGGTGATCAGAGAGACATCTGCTGGCATGTCACTCCTATAAATGCATTGATTGAGTTGTGGCGTCTCATGTGAAATGTGAGCCTTCAAATGCTGTCGCTTTGTGCAGATGTTCTTTTGCACTATAAGTCACCAATAACGAGCCCCACATGAGGAGGCAGAGAATATTCTTTAATTGTCCTTTAATCGAATTAAAGGCAGCGTTACATCCTTATTCATAAAACCTTTTCTTCATTCTAAGGACTTGATTAAACTATCTGTCCTGAGGCCGTCATCACTGCTAACTTCTTTTGATGTTGTGTTTGGTGTTTCAAGGTTTTACACCCTCCTCTGTGCAGTCACAGCTTCATGTATCTGTGCAGATCTATATTTGCAGCCTCACACCATTTGACATTTATCCGCCACAGCTGATCATATCTGCTGTCATTTGTAAGTTTAACCAGAGGAAGTGGCTGTTAGTGCCAGCTGTCTGCTGCTGTGTGTGTTTCTGTTTGATGAGTCTTTGCTGATGTAAGAACAAGAAGATCCCAAAAAAGTGAAAAGGGCCTCAAACCCGTTGTGTGCAGAAAATATTAGCATTAGCAGTCATCCTCCTCCCTTATAAACATGCTAGTACATGGATCAAAACCAAGTAGCTGCTGTCACAAGGATGAGAGGTGAGCAGGGCTGCAGGGACGCAAACATCCCGCCCTCGTGCTTCTCAGATGGGAAATAGAACGAGCCGAGTGTCTCCCTGCACAGCTGTCATGCCCATCAGGAGAACCGCTCCAGCACGCATACTCACAAACACAACCCCCCCTCCCCCCCACCTGGACACAAAAACCAACCAGACACACATAATCAAATGGACAAACATGTACAAACATCCACATGCGTGCCGACACACACGCTCACACACATTTAAATTCATACTAAGATTATCTCTGAGCTCTGCTGACATTTATCTCCAAACAGGGAGCGCTGCGGCCATCCAGAGCAGGTCGGACAAACTGTGAGTGGGCAGGGAGCCAGACGTTGATTCACTTTTATTCTCCGACAGTTTGACTCACCACCTGGCCCTGGGTAATCCCAGCGCACGCTTTTGGACAGCTCCCCCCCTCGCCCCCCGAACTAAACCTCAATTTCAATCTGAATGAATTGAAGTTCTCATATGGCCATTCAAGCTCTGCCCGGCACTAACCGGAAGAGCTCTAAGCTTTATGAGCGTTAATGCGCTGCTGAGGGAGACACGGTGACATTTCAAATGAAACCATTACAGTCAGAAAGATGTAGATGCATTAATGCTGTCTCCTTCTCCGTTTGTGACATTTGAGTAAGCAGTCTTCTGGGTAATCAATAAACAAACTTAATAACCTGCCTCGTGTCTAGACTGAATGGAGTAGCAGCAATATTAGCTTCACTTTGCAAAAGAAGCCCGGGATTAATTGGCATGCAGCTAAGTGACCTTTCCAGGAAGTGAGGAAACATAACGGAATTGTGACACTGGCTAATTCCTGCATAATTAGTTTGTCATCTGGTGGTCGGCCTTCTTTCTCTTAATACTGCAATGAGTTGCTTTACCCCACAGGCTGCAGAAAACATGGACGTGGCCTAAGTGATGTCACCCGTTGGTTTCTGAAGAGGCGTTATGAAGCCAAACGATGGCAGTCGCCATATTGGAAATGTTATCTCAGCCTAACTTTTGATCAATCGAGGCAGGAGATGCTGAGGTGGTCTTTAAGCCTCTGGGCAAACAGCTACAACATGTTCACCTCTCCCCACTTGGGCGTAAATATCATCAGTATGGATATGTCACCCCATTCTGTTTTCCCAATAAAGAAACGAGCTATTGATACTATATTGATGGAAATGTAAACATGTTTATTTCTGCTGTAAAAACTGGCATTTTAATATGCGACCTAATGAGGATTATTTGGGTTTTTTTTGCCTCAAGAGGAACTGCAGTTTTATGCACTTCCACATTGGCACCAGTTTGCCTCTTTACTTTACCTGCCTTTCCAGCCCGTTTGTTGTGATGGGATATCAATCTCTGCTTTCCACTGTATGATTTGATAGCAGTGCAGGATAAACAAGATCCAGCTGTAATGTTAGGTTGCAGCATCACAGAAAACGAGTGGGTGGTATTTTATGAAACTGTGTGGTTTCTTGGACAGCTCTCTCATTCACTGAACGGAAGTGGTTTTAGCATCCTCTCAGCAAAACACTAAACCTGTTCCTCTTTTTTTTTGTTGATACTCTGTTATTTCATTCACTCTCATGCAATCACATCAGATGAGCAGCTCGGGCACTGAAGACGCCCCCTGTCTGGGGTCAGACGGAGAACTCAAAAACCACAGTTGGCAGAGAGTAGAAAGTGTTTGTGGTGTGATGTCAGGTTCCTGATTATGATGCTTATAGCTCCTCGAGGTTGTGTTTGTGATGAACTGCCGTTGGTTGGTGCTTCAGTGTGTTATGATGAAGCTTAAAGGAGATACTCCAAAGTGATCCATTTGTAAATATAATGTTATGATGTTGGATGTCCATACTCAACCTCTGCATAGTTTTTTTAAAACACA